TATGCCCAAATAAATCTGTTAGTCTTTAAGGTGCCACCAGACTCCTTGTTGTTTTTGTAGATACAGACTAACACGGCTACCCCCTGATACTTGACAGGGTTATTCTTAGTCATCCACAAGGCTCCTCACCATGCATAAAGAGGCTAAGTGTTAAATAAACTTTCACATAGCCAGACCCCAGCATTCCCACCCTGTAGGCTGTGTCTTTGTCCTGGAGTTCTGAGTGCACTGGGAAAAAGGCTTGCGTTCCAGCCCCCGAGGCCCTTGTCTAGGTTATACGGTGAGCCTGTGTTGCTGCAGTGTCTCTCTCGCTGGCTCCTTCCACCAACCATAAAGAACTAAAGCCACACCCCGCCGGTGAGTCAGGGGCTCAGCTCCCTCAGCAGGGGGACATGGGAACTGCCGAGGAACTGAAAGCAGCGTCTGGGTGGAATGTGACGACCCCATCACAGCTCAGCATCTTGCATTCCTCATGCTCAGACAAGTCACTTGGGGTGCAAACATGCTTCACTTAATCCCAGAGAGGCTGTAGACCAAGGGCCCAATCCTATAAGGCGCTGAGCACCCTCAGCTCCCAGCAAAGCCAGCAAGAGTTTAAGGAGCTTTCTTCCTCGCAGGAAGCATGCAGCACATTGCAGGATCAGGCTCCCAGCAGCTGGGGAGCCTCCCCCAACTTCAGCACCATTGATCAACTGGGTTGTGTGCCTCAGCCACTTAAACTAAAGGGATTCTCTCTCTGCAAAGCACCATGCAGGCCAACCGCACTAGCATTATCCCCGACTGCCTCAGAGAAGCTGGATTCACTTCTCACATATGCAGCTGCAAATCTGGAGTGACGCCTCTGAAGTCAATGAAGTTGCATTGCATTAAAGTGAGAGGAAAGTCCAGCCAAGAGAGGATCCATCGAATAATGCGAGACTTCCCATCCTGGATGTCCTGTGGGTGCCACACATGTTATTCCTAAGTGCAAAATGTTAGCACGCCAATGAGGGTGTTTTATTATGGGACAAAGGCTCCTGCACACCCCACGTGGGATATTCCAACTGTGTCAGGCTGGACAGAGACTCAAGCAGAGAAGCAGGATAGTCTAGTGGGCAGACCACTGGACTGGGCTTCAGAAGACTGGGATCTTATCCCTGCTGCTACCACTGACCTGCTGTGTGACCGTAGGCATGTCCCTTCCCCTGCCCTGAGCCTCAGTTTCCCCTCCCACCCATACTCTATTTATCTTGCAAGCCTGTCAGAGCAGGGATTGTCTCTTACTGTGTGTTGTACAGCACCCTGCACAATGGGGCCTTGATCCTGATCGGCGCCTTTAGGCACTGTCATTATACAAATAAGTAGTAATAAAGGTAGGTGAGCAATGAGCCTAGATCAGTGACACAGACCTCCGCTGAGGTCAGTGGAGCAATGTTGATTTACGTCAGTGGCTCTATAGAATTGGTGTCAGATTCTGCTCTGGAGTTACTCCGGATTTATCACTGAGGTAAGAGACAGTCGAATCCATCGCTCTCTTCCCACCCCTCTTGGAGTTCTTAAGAGATTTCCCCACATTATCCACAGTCAGGAACAAACACACACATGCCCACAACCACTTGCCTTCGGTAAACGAGGGCTCCAATTGGCATGTGCAACCTAAACTAATATCATCCATTATTGCTCAGCCTTTAATATTTAAACATGCCTGACGTAGCCTTAAATAAAGCAATTCTGCTTTAGCAGAGGGTTTTTTGCAGAGTCAAAGTTCCCCTCCTTTGGGGCCCTTAACGTCAGAGTCATTAACAAATTGGCAGCGTCAGGGAAAAATTGTTCCCTGTGTCAGTGAATTTGTTATCAAGCTGGCTAGTGACTGATCCCAGTCTCATTCCCTTTCTGCTGCTCTCTTTCCCAACTACCTCCCTCTCTCTCTTGGCCTGAAGCAACTAGAAATACCACATGTCAAAGATTCTCCACCTCGGGGAGGGAGACACAATAGAAGCCACCATAGAAGAGAAAGAGAGGACTCCGCTGTAGCCCCCCCTTCAATCAGAACAATTAACTCACGAGCTATGCAAAAACGGAGACACGATCAATGATGAACTCACAGAGCCTCCAGCTCCCAATGTGTTAAGGATGCTTCTCCCATCCCCATGTGTGCAATGCAGCCTGGCCTTCCAGCTGCGATCCTTCGGTGTAGGCACGGTGGCGACTGAGGACAAACAAAGGGATGGATTTTAAGCACCAGGCTATCAACTTTATTCAACTTAACGCAGGGGAGTGACGTGACCCACCCTGCCCCCCGTACTCTCACCCGCCAGGCGTTTAAGTGGTTTCAGTTCCGGGGTCTCCAGCCATACGACCCATAACTCGGCCTCCTCAGCCTACCCTAGGACTCAGCTCATTCTTCTGAGTCCCCCCTCTTCCTGCAGCCCAGGATGGGGGCAGAGGGTACTAAAAGGGGGAACTCAGCCCCTGCAGGCCACAAGGTCTTCCCCAATCCCGTGGGCTCCAAGCTCATCAGTGAGTGCCCAGGTCTTTTACTTCAGGGAACCGTTCCTGTTAACCACACTGGAAACTGGCCTTAGGGGGGTGCAAGCAACTAGCTTGATCACACCCCGCCCTCTTGCCATGCCCAGTATCAGAACCCTGCCCGGTCCATTCTCTCACACTGAACGGCGCACAAAGTGGCACCTCATGGCCCGAACTAGGGTTTAAATTAATGAAAGGGGAGAGCAAGGGACCAATCGTCTCCCTTCCTCCCTAAGCTAGCCAATGAGTGCCAATGTCTCTGAAGGACAGGAGCAACCCAGTGTCCGCTCAGCATGTGGGCTCCTTTCCTGTCCAGCCAGGGTTGTCCCAACTGCCACCAACCCCACCAAGTTCCCCACCCATTGGAGGCGGGTAGGTGGCATTTTCCTCTCCCGCCCGCTCGGCTTTCCCACGCACACCACGGCAGGCTAGGAATCTCTCGGCTGCAGGCTACACGAGCCAGCAGGATTAAGGAGTCCATGGAGGGGAGTTGAGAAGTTTGGTGAGGGGAAAGCGGAGATTAATGGAATTTCTTTGGGAAATGCAGCCTCTGTCTCCCTTCGCCATCCTGACTCGCAGATCATCCGAGGAGCACTGCGGCCCCCAGCCAGGCGATCTCCAGGGAGTAAATGCAACTTCCTTTGCTCCAGCCAAACTGCGGTGCAGCTCCTGATAACCCCGACGACGAGGAGCCAGACTCTGCTCATGCTAACACCAGTGTAAATCCAAAGCAGCCTCTTTGCTTACTCAATGTTTCCGCCGGCATGGCTGCGATCAGGATGCAGCCCAACACCTGGCAGGACAGGCATCACCCAGCCTCACCCATCACACCACCCTCTTCCGCCCCACAAGGCACAGCTTGGAGAGAGGAGCCGCTCAATCCCACAGGCGAAATATAAGGAGGAGGATGAGTAGCCCCCTAATGCAAGGTTCTTGTGATATCACTGGCTTCCACCCAGCATGAGTCGGGCTCAGATCACGCCCCCTAAACCCTGAGGTGCACTCGCTCGGTTACACTCCATCCTATGGATCCAGCCCCCACTCTCCCCCTCTCTGATTAGCATGTGGCAGCACTGGGGCCTATTTCTACTCCGGCCTTGGCGTCTCTCCTGAGGCAGGGCCACATGACTACCTAAGAGCTATAGATTCAGTCTCTAGGGCTGCGGATCCAGCACCAAAGACCAAAGTCACATGCCATAAACTTTCCTCCTCCGCTCCCCTGTTTAATAAGCCGAACAAACACGGCTCCTGCCTCTGGGACATTCATCCCAGTGGCCCCAAACGCCTTACGGAGACCGAGCAAGCTGCTGGGGTTTTCGTTTACTGGCCACGAGGTGGCGCTAATTAATAGGTTGTGCTCCGTGTGCAGCTAAACACAATAACATAGCTACCGTGAGTAAATTTCGAGTATGCTGCCATTCAGACCTATGGCAGCAAACACCTGTAGACCCAACAGACTCGAGAAGGGAAAGCGATCAGGGAGTGTGATGTCCACAGGGTGTGTAGGAAAAGTTATTCCAAGGGGAGGGGCTGTGTTTTGATCCCTCCCCGTTTGGCCCTGGACATTTAGGGGTTGCCCTAATGGGAGTGAAGCTAGAGAAGCTGCAAGCCATGTTCCCCTTCCTTCCCCCAGGCACTCACCACGCTACAAAATATACCCCCCCTTCCCCTCTCTACTTACATGCAGTTGTGGGAGAGGTTCGAGCCACTCCAGGCTCCCAGCTGTGATTCTTCTGCTCCCAAGGGCATAGGAAGGAGGCAGAGAGCGCCCACCTCTGCATCAGAGTCTGTTATGCTTCACAGCATGCAAACTGAGAAATCATATCCCACATGGAATACTCTTGCTGGCGGGCTGTAACATAACACTGCTTTAGTTCTTAGAATTCAGAGCACACAAGAACCCCAACCCAGAGAGAAACAAAACAGGCTGCTCCCTAAAACAGAGAAGCACAACTCATCCGATCTGGCTTTAAGAGGGCTCTTTTCAGAGCCCCTCCAATCATTGCACACCCTTTCCCTCCCTCCCCCTGCTCTTACAGCGAGAGCTTGCAGTTCCATCCCACACAGTCCTCAATGCACCACAGAGTCCTTTGTTTCCCCACTTCACACCTCCCCTCGGCAGTGCACTACGTTAAGGAGTGATTTTTGCTTAAGAAGCCTACATGAGGCTTCTTCCAAGCCTCACCAAAGCTGTTCCTGAATGACTCAGACAGATGACTGCATGAACAAAAGACACTCTTTCTTTCCAAGGCATGAGCCAGCTGCCCCCAGCCCTACATGGTTCACCAGTAACCCAGTGCATGCAGTTGATCTCCTCACTTTTGATTCCAAAGACTCAAGCCTCTAGCTGGTGAGCTAAGGGAGTGGGTCTGCTACTGGACAAGAGCAGGCCCTAATTAGGCACCTAAATATCTTTGTGAACCCCACCCTCAGTCCCCACAACCAGGGCCAGAATTTGCAGAACAACTCAGCTCCCCATTAGGTGCTGGAATAAGGGACAGCTCCCAGCAGCTCCCATTGTGACACCAGTGAGCAGATTTTCAACAGAGCCCAGCACCCAACGCACACAGCTTTGGGACTCGATGGTGCCTCTTTTGAACATCTACCCTCCAGTGGCAGGTGAATGAAATAAGCCAGGAGAGGGCAACACAGACCGCGCTCATGTGGATCTAATTTTTTCCCCAAAGTTTTGAGACTTCTGTATCCAGAGTTTTAACTTGAAGTAAGCTCTGTGGGCCAGGGACCATCTTTTTGCTAGGTATCCTAACATAGCACCTAGCACAATGGGATCATGGTCAATGACAGGGGTTCCTAGGCGCTACCGCAACATGAATAATAAGTAATTTTAATTAATTACTCATTTCTGTTCTGCCTCCTTCCTCCTCCCTCCCTCCCGCTTTCTCCCCCATCTTCCCTGTAAAGGGACCCTCCTTCTGCCTACAAAGGAATAAAAACTCCTTGTTTGCTGTTCTCTGAAGCCAGGGAGAAATCAAAGAATGGAACTGCCAGGTCCTTTTAGGACTTGTGACTGAAAATGCACTGTTCAAAGGAGGCCTTGCTTATCTCACCCTATAGACTTTGGAGTGTAACATATGATTGGAATTCAACCCCCCATAACTGCAAACATCGCTCTCTGTTCCTGAATGGGAGAATAGGTTCTTTTTTTGAAGGGATGTTCTGTGCTGGCGGAATTCACAACTGGCCACCTGGGGAGGATAATAATACGGTCTGATCCTGAACAGTATAAATAGGAGCTTTTAGGTAATAGAGAAAAGAGCAACAGGCTCGGGGGTGTTCTGTGTTAGAGGGTGCAGCTAGAGTTGGTTGGGAATTTTTTGACATACTGTTTTGGGGGTTTTTTTAACAAAAAAATAAATAAATGTCAGTTCACCGAAACCAAAACTGTTCGTGAAACACGTCCCGTTTCCACAAATCACGGGAGCAAGGGAGGATTAGGGCTTGATCCAAAGCACACTGACACCACTGGAAAGACTTTCTCTGGCTTCAGCGGGCTTTGGCTCAGTCCCAAAGGGCCGAGCTACGCTAGAAAGCTTACTGCTTAAAGTAGCAAACAGTGGATACAGTGACACTGGTATAAAAATGCGTATCTGGTATATCCTATTCCATTTTGGGAAGTGAAATAAACTGTAAGAGTATAGGGCACCTGAATATCAATATAAAGATGTCCACGCTAGGGCTTTCACTGGTATATCAGTAAAAAAAAATCACATCTCTAACCAACATGGTTATAATACTGGGGTAACATTTCTAGTGTAGACCAGGCCACAGTAAAAGCAGGACCCCAGGTCATTTTTCAAGGGGTGAGGGCAGCAAATCATTTTAAGGGGTTATCTAGACAGAATTGTTTTAATGGGAGTGAGGGGATATAGATTTCCAAAGCCCTCACCCTGTTTCCATCACCTACCCACAGCCTCGGACCAGCTGCATAGGTTGGTGCTGGCTAATGCTAAGTTCCTTGCATGTTGCCTCCATAAGCTTCAAGGAACAAATGGAGGTCAGTGGTATGATCTCCATGTTACAGATGGGGAAACTGAGGCACTGAGTGGGTAAGTGACTTGGTCAGAGTCACATAGCAGATCCGTGGCAGAGCCAGGAATAGAACCCCGATTTCCTGACTCCCAGTTCCATACCCCCTAGATCAGGGGTGGGTAAACTTTTTGATCCGAGGGCCACATCTGGGTATGGAAATTGTATGGCGGGCCATGAATGCTCACAAAATTAGGTATTGGGTTGCGGGGGGGTGGGTGGGTGGGTGAGGGCTCTGGCTGGGGCTGGGGATAAGGGGTTGGGGGTGCAGGAGGGTACTCTGGGCTGGGACCGAGGGGTTCAGAGGGTGGGAGGGGGATCAGGGCTGGGGCAGTGGGTTGGGGTGCAGGAGGAGGTCAGGGGTGCAGGCTCCAGAGGGCGCTTACCTCAAGCATCTCCCAGAAGCAGCTGCATGTGTCCCCCCCCCTGCCATCTTCTATGCAGAGTTGCAGCCAGGAGGCTCTGCACACTGTCCTGTCCACAGGCGCCACCCCTGCAGCTCCCCTGGGCCACGGTTCCCAGCCAATGGGAGCTGCGGGGGCAGCGTGCAGAACCCCTTGGCTGCCCCTACGCGTAGGAGCCGGACAGGGGGACATGCCACTGCTTCTGGGAGCTGTGCGGAGTGGGGCAAGCCCCCAACCCCACTCCTGACTGGAGCGCCAAAGCGGGGCAAGCCCCGGACCCCACTCCCCAGCGGGAGCTCGAGGGCCGGATTAAAACGTCTGTAGTTTGCCCACCCCTGCCCTAGATGATGCCGCTTCTTTCAAAGCCCTCCATTTCCAATAGCCATGAGTCCTGGGCAGGAATCGCATCCTTTACCTTGGTAACAAAGTGATGATGACTCAGCTGTTCAATCTGTCTCCTTTTCTTCCCCCCCTGACTGTGCCTGTCTCTCACCCTTCCTCCCCCACATAGCCGCCCCCACCCTGCCATACATTCCCTTCCACCCTTCCCCTTCCAAACTCCTGCTCCATGATCCATCCCTGTGTCTCTGTTACCGGCACCTGTGCATCAGCCCGTCAGCTGCTGACATGTGAAGCAGCTGGCAGCGTGAAGTGCTTGCAGGGAGGAGGAGGACAGACAGCCTGGGGTAAATCCATCCGGAATTTGCAAAGCAGGCAGAGATCACTGTTAGCCCAACTACTGCCCCTGGCTGCACGGAGCTTGATCTAACTGCAACTGGCTGAGCCAGTAATTTACATGGCTCGGGGGAAGGAATTCCCCCGCCTGGCATATTCTTTTCCTCCTTGGAATGAAAGTCCAACACAAGCGCAGTCCCACTCTTAGGTTTATGCCCCACGAAGGGGCCGTATTCTATTCTCTCCACAACACACATGCAGCATGTGTTGGTCTGTTCAGGATCGTTCACAGTTGCAGGGCCCCGCTCCGTGCCCACTCATAGCTCCGTGGCTATCTGATGCTCTCTGTAGTTATGCACCAGGAAGCATCTAGCTGTGCCCATGTTTCACCAAGGTAAGGAGGGAGCTGCTGTCTTGGGAGGAGCTGGCAGGGATGAGAAGGGAGGGGGCAGGGTGGATGTTGCTACCAGCTGCCATTACCAGAGATTGAGGTCAATGGCTTTACAGAGCTGGACATTTATTTCCCCTTTAATCAACAGCTGTAAAAATTCATGGCCTATAACCGAGTGCTGGGCCCTGGAAATGGAGGGTTAAAGGATCTGGGCTCCAATACTCATTAAACTAAATTGCCTGCTTCCCTCTTTCCCGCAGCAGGAGCAGAGAACCCCTGCAGCGATAAACAAGACTGGCAGCAGGAGCGGAGTCTGTCCAGAACCCAAAGGCCCCTACCCACCTTCTGCCCGTTATTGAGGACACATACCAGGGAGGAGCAAACACGACCAGGCTCAAAGAGTCTCTGAGCCGTGTTCCCATCTCAGTTCCTCCAGCGGGAATCTGGAGTAATGCCAGGGACTGCAATGGCACTACCCTGCTTGACAGCCATGTGTGCACGAGAGAGCCCATTTAACATGGCAAGGCAGGCCCCTCGCACGCTTTCCCACTGAGGATCTCAGTGCACTTTATAAACATTGATTCACCCCAATCCTTCTCCTGGGAGGTAGGTCAGTAGGACATCCCTATTTGAAAAGGTAGGGAAATGGAGGCACGGAGAGGTTAAATGAGTTGTTCAAGGTCAACTAGTGAGGCAGTAGCAGAGCTGAGAAGAGATTTATAGGGTGAAATCCTGGCCCCCATTAGAGTCAACAGCAAAACTTCTAGTGGCTTCAGTGGGACCAGGATTTCACTCAGACTTGAGGACCACAAGGGACCATTCAGACCATCTAGTCTGACCTTCCTGCACAACACAGGACAGAGCATGTTGCCCTGTAATTCCTGCCTCTAGCCTGATACTGCAGCTCAACCGCAAGGTATATTTCTTAGAAAGAGACCTCCGAGCTTGAACTGAACACTCCAAGTGATGGAGAATGCATCAGGTCCCGGGCAAGTTGTTCCAATGGTTAAATGACTCTCCTTGTTACAAATTTGCACCTTATTTCCCAGCTAAATTTGTTGAGTTTCAGCTTCCAGTCACTGGCTCTCATTCTGCCTTTGGTGGCTAAATCAAAAAACGCCCTAATCTCAGAAATCCACTCTCCATGAAGGCACCTCAGACAGGCTCTAAAAGGTACGCCTGTCTACCTTTAAGGATCTGGACCTTATAGACCATGATCTAGTCACCTCCTTAATCTTCTTTTGGATAAACTGAATAGCTGGAGCTTCTTTAGTCTCTCTCTGGAAGGCAGTCCCGACTCCCAGTCTTCTGCCAAAACAGTCTGTCCTTCCTGGTGCCAGATAGCTGCCGGCAGCCTCTCCAAACCCCCAAGGGCTGAAAAGTCTAGTTGAAAATCTTGCATAAACGAGGCACAGGCAGGGG